GGTGAACCATACCATGCTGTGTCACATCACAGTGACCATCTCTACCCTAGAGATTACCACCATGGTGAACCATACCATGCTGAGTCCCATCATAGTGACCACCACCACCACAGAGATTACCATGGTGAACGGTACCATGTTGAGCCACACCATAGTGACCACCACCACCACAGAGATCACCACTACGGAGAACACCACCACCCTGAGTACCACCACTACCACGGTGAGCACCACCACCACAAGGAACATCCGGAGCATCACCACAGCATACATCATTATGATCACCTCCACAGGGATTACTACCAGGACTACGACAAGAGCGGCTCTCAACTCTCTGTCCCACACAAGCCACACAGCATCACTGGCTCTGCTTTTCATCTAGAGCCTACCAAGAGCTTGCCCCACAGTGTGATTCAGTCCCACACTACAGTTTACTCACGTGGCTCTCAGGCCTCCAACAAAGTTCATCCTCAGGACTCCTCTTCCAAAGAATCAGAAAGCTGGTCTGAAGATGAGCAATATCAGAAGCAAAAAAGTGAGTTTTTTCTGTGTCCCCAATGTCTAATGTCCACTTACCTGCCCACATGCATGAAAATCTATCCCAAGCTCTGTACAGCCTCCTACATATCTGGAGGCCTGGCCCAGATGCCATGAATATATTCTATCAGCTCCACTCTCTCCACTGTCCCTTATCCTCTCCTTTATTTCTTGAATTATGTACCTCTGTGCACCATGAGATGTTTCCTCATTCACTCACCTCTTTCTTCACTTTTACATTTACCTCTCACACATTGAGGCTTTTGTCAAACATGGGTACCCTGGCCTGCTTGAGCCCTGACAGTACGAGAAAAACCCAGCACAACCCTTGTTTTCAAGGGGCTCCAAGGCAGGAAGGTGTCACTTAGCCAACTGCAAGCCATCCAATGATGGGGCCTGTCCTTCATATTTGCCTTTGTGGATCCTGTGTTCACATTTCCCCCACTAAAATGTAAGTGCTAAGGACAGAGATGCGAACTAGTGCCTGAATGAGGGCTTTAACTGAGGGTAGGAAGGGACCTTGGCTGTTGACTAATAGTTTCCCAGAGTTGGCTCCTTGGAGCTCAGTAAACAGGGCAACCATCTCATGAACAAGTAGAGAGGAGTAAATATCTTACTGAAGGGGCACAGAAAGAGCAGCTAGGAGGAAGGAAATTTCAGCAGGATCTTACAGGGAAAGTAAGAGTGTACTATGAGGATGGAGCACTGAGGAGGATTGGATTTTCCATAAATAAACTGTCATATGAACAAAATGGACATGAATGTGTAAGGGAAGGAGCTTTTTTTTTTTTTTGGAACCAGGGATTGAGCTCAGACCCTTGTGCTTGCCAGAGAAGCGCTTATTCCACTGAGCCATCACCCCAGCCCAGGGAAGGAGCTCTTATGATCCACTCAAGCCAACTCCAGATCTTAAACAAATTAGCCCCTGGCATGGAAGAAAGAAGGACTGGCCCCAAGATCAACACTGGCATAGAGGCACATTACAAAGTGGACAGCAGTCTTCCCTGGCAAGCGCAAGGGCCTGAGTTCAATCCCCAGTTCTGCCAAAAAAAAAACCAAAACCAAAACCAAAAAAACAAAGTGGACAGCAGGCAGGGGATGACAATGAGCCCAAATCCAGTATTCAAGGGTGCTTGAGGTCCCCCACTTTGCTGCTGCACAGATACGACTCCTTTTTTTTTTTTTTTTTTTTTTTGCGGAACTGGGGATTGAACTCAGGCCCTTGCGCTTGCCAGGGAAGTGCTTATTCCACTGAGGATGTGACTTTCTGACTACCTTACAGAGGCCCGAGGCCAGCGGACCCACAAGAAGTACACTATGAACATCTTCCAACGGCTGTGTGAAAAATTAAAAAACCTCCTTTTGGGTCCCTGGAAAATTATCAGGAACCTGACTCAGTCCTCGATCTTTGAAACCTTCATCTTCCTCATCGTCTTCCTCAATATCATCATGCTTATGGCCCAGACCTTCGCAGAAGTCAAGATCAGGGGTGGTAAGAGCCAGGACCCTCGGATTAGTTCTAGAGCCCCCTGTGTCCGAGTCTCAGGCCAGGACATTTATATAACTTGATTCGCTTGATCCTCGCTCCTGGAAGTTGACGCCATTGCTACCAATGTCAGCAGAGTTTAGCCTCTGAAAGGTCTCACTAGGTCAGCCAGACACCCTAGACTGGAGGCTGTGCTGTTTATAGCGACGGCCACTAGGTGGCTCATCAGCTCTATATACGCTGCTGACAGTAGCGTGGGTAGCAAGAACCCTTGGTTTGTGTGACAGGGGTCAAGGAACCCAGAGAAGGAGGTTGGGGAGGGGTGACAATGGAGAAATCGAATGCTAAAATACAGTGGCTCAGGATGAAAGAAAGAATTCACCACCTACTTATTGTCCCAGGCTCAGTGCTAAGCCAGGATCATTCAAGTAAAAGGCTTTAAATGTTTCAATATATTTAAAGTTCACTCTATCAAATAGTCTGTTATAGTCATTTCACAGATTAGAAAACTGAGGTCAGAGCAGCTGACTTACACAGCCATTTGGGGCAGAACCAGGGAGAGGCTAGGTATTTGCAATTGAGCGAGGTATCAGAGAGGGGTGAGGGAGGGGCCTGGGAGGCTGGCTGTGGTCCTGAGTGGGGCCCTTGGTGTCCCCACAGAGTGGTACTTCATGGCCTTGGACTGTGTTTTCCTCAGCATCTACATAACAGAGGCCCTGCTCAAGATCATTTCCCTAGGCCTGGATTATTTTTATGATCCTTGGAACAATCTGGGTGAGTGGAAATGGGGTTGCGGTGGGTTGCACTGAACTGTCTTGGGGAAACTGAGGATGGAAGAGGGACAGCAATTGGGTGTCGGTGCTGGGAGCCTATGGGTCTGGGCCTAGGGCCTAGCAGTCCCGTCCCCACTCAGTCACCCTGTACCTTCAGACTTCTTCGTCATGCTCATGGCCGTGCTGGACTTCGCACTCATGCAAGTCAACTCCCTGGACTCCTTCTACAACCACAGCCTCTTTCGGATTCTCAAGGTCTTAAAGATCATGCGGGCGCTGAGAGCCATCCGGATTGTGCGGAGACTCAGGTCTGCATGTTCCTGGCTGCTTGTTCTGGTGTGGGGAGGCCAAAGGTAGAGGGGACTGGGTTCCCAAGGACACAAACCACTGTGACCTGCTCAAGGGATCAGGGCCACAGCCTGCTTCAGAAAGTGTTCCTCTGGGATCTGTTGTTAAGATTCATCTCTTTCTGTTCCAGAGAAGTGCCAGGACTCACCCAAGTCACCTGGCAAACCAAAGACACCATATTCACCATTACCAGCTCTGCCCGCTGGGTGCAGAATCTTACCCAGCCCTTCCTGATTTAGTCCCCTCTACCTCTACTCACAGAATCCTGACCAGCCTCAAAGAAGTAACGGGGACCCTGGTGGGCTCCTTGATGTCCATCATAACTATCTTCATCCTCATATTTTCCTGCCTCTGTATCCTATGCCATCGGGATGGGACAGGGAAGTAGTGGACAGGGATAGGGCTGGGAAGAGGGGCACAGGTCCAGGGGACTGGAGCCTGGTTTTTTCCTGAACAGCCAGTATTCTTCTCTATGATCCTGACATTGTTCCGAAGATTTGATCCCTGGCGCTTTGAGAACTTCTTTACCACCATGTTCACCCTCTTCACCGTGCTTACCCTAGATGACTGGTCCCTCATCTACATGGACAGCCGTGCCCAAGGTGGGCCAGGGGAAGGGGCTCAGAGACCCTGTCTGTGATGGGGGCAGGAGTGGGTTGGGATGTGAGGGAGCCACCTAGCTAATCACTTCTTTGCCCTACCCCAGGTGCCTGGTACATCATCCCCATTCTCATGATTTACATCTTCATCCAAAACATCATCTTCCTCAAGTGAGGACCTCAACCCTGCTGGCAGCCTCAACCCCTGTGCCCCCATCCAGCCCTGGGGAGCCCTGTCCTGCCATGCTGAACTCAGGAGGGTGCTGGGGCCTCTCCTCCCACATCCTCCTTAAGGGCGTCCCACTGTCCCCTCACCCAGCCTGCTGACTGCTGTCCTAGTGGATAACTTCCAGATGGCCCTACTCAGAGATGAAGAGAGAGTAAAGCAGGAGGTATCAAGTGGGGTGGATAGGGAAGAAGGGGCCTGGGGTGCTCCACCAATGGGGGCAGGGGACCCCGGCAGGACTGAGGCCTCCTCTCCTCAGATGACCGCCTGGATCCATGAGAAGCTGCTAGATGACTCCTTGACAGAGCTCAACTATTCAGGTACTGGGCCCACCCACCTCCTTCCACCTGGCCTCCTTCCATGGCCAGACACAGGCTCCAGGCTCACTCTTGGAGCAGGCTCACTCTTGGAGCTCTGTTTTGTTTTGTTTTGTTTTGTTTTGTTTTGTTTTGTTTTGTTTTGGTGGAACCCGGGATTGAACTCAGGGCCTTCAGCTTGCCAGGCAAGTGCTTATTCTACTGAGCCATCTCCCCCCCGCCCCCCGGAGCTCTGGAACCTGGGATGCTGAGGACTTTCAGAGTTTAGAACTTTGGTTCAAAGAAGTCCAAAACAATCCCCCAAAAGCCAATTAAATTGATTATTAATCCTTAAAAGACCCACTTGAAAAACAACCAATTAGCCAAATTATAGGCTTTTTCAAATTATGGTTCATAAACCACTTGTCAGTCATTTATTTCTTATAGCTTATCTTCCATTGGGATGGTTTTGTTGAGGTTACACACACTTATCCAGAATGACATGACACAGTCTACAAGAAGGAAGTTTTGTGGGTATGTGGTCCTTTTCTCACATACAGCTTTCTGGATGCACTGATTTTAAGTCAAATGGTTTGCTTTTGACCTAAAGATCCCCAGGGCTTTAGAATCTGAGCTCTAGAACCCTGCTCCTAAGATCATCAGTAGGGGCCCCTTCTGGACAATTTTCACCAAGAACAGTGCACAACAGCACAAGAACCAGGGTTCAATCCCCAGCGTGCCATGCTGGCTCCACCCCCGGGGTGCGCTGAGATGGTGACTGAGACTGGGCATGGTGGCGTGTGCCTGTAATCCCAGCACTTGGGAGGCTGAAAACAGAAGGATCATTACAAGTCTGATCTGTGTAGTAAGACCCTGTAGACCCTGTACTAAATACATAAAAAAAAAAAAGAACAGTACACAACAGCTTAAACAGAAAAAGAAGAAATTCATTGACCCTAATTACTCAGCAAATTAGAAGTATATGGGCTTTCAGCAAACTACTGTCAGGATTTGCTTTCTTCTGTATTTTCTGCTCTGTAGTCCTCTGAGTGGTTCTGTTTTTAGAGTAATTCTTCCCTTATAGGCCAAAATGTTCACCCGCATTTACAGCCCCAGATCCTTGCAGTGTAGCCATCTGTACCACTCTCCCAAGAGAGGGGAATGTTCCTCTTCTCCCAGCAATCCCAACAAACTCCCAGAGATGAGCCTCCTCTGCTATGATAAAAGTACTTGTTTAGTTTGGAACAAATCACTGCAGGCTGATTGTTAGTCCACAGTCACATATCCTGGGACCCTGGAGAAGGACTGACCCCAGCTGAGCAACATGAATGGAACAGTGATGGGGTCAGTTCCTCAGGAAAACTAAAACACATTTTTGGATGTATTTGTTGTCATTGTTTTGGTTTTGGTACTGGGGATAGATCCCAGGAGTGTTCTATTACTACTGACCTATATCCCCAACCTGCCCTTCTTTCCTTCCTTCCTTCTTCCTTCCTTCCATCCTTCCTTCCTTCCTTCCTTCCTTCCTTCCTTCCTTTCCTCCCTCCCTCCTTTCTTCTTTCCTTCTTTCCTTCCTTTCTTGAAAGGATCTTGCTAAATTTTCCAGGTAGGATTTGAACTTGTGATCTTCTTGCCTCAGCCCCCCTCAGTGCTGGGATAATAGGTATGGGCCTATGCACCCAGGAAACGTACTTTTACTGGAAGAGGGAGTTAGGATGGGGGTATAACTCAGTGGTAAAACACCTCCTCAGTATGTAGAAGTTCTTGGGTTCCATCCAGAGCACCTCATCAAATAATAATAATAATAATAATAATAATAATAATAATAAATAAAAAGATAATGAAAGCTGAAAAAAAAATAAACAAAATCACTCCACACTCCACACCTGAAGAAGAACCCTCTTTGAGGCATCCTGGATCCAAGGAAACCCTTTAAGCCCTATCTGTACACCTCTATGACAGCAGGGTTCCTCTGCTACTTCCAAATCCAGGTATCTTCTGACCCCAACCTCAGCCCCTTTTTTCTCCATCCAGAGCCTGAGGAGGTAAAGGACAATGCCACCTTGGAGGTCAAGAAGTCTGAGACAATGACTGAGAAGTGAGGAGACGAGCGGGAGGTCTGGGTGTCATAGGCAGCCTGGAGGGGATGGATGAAGGGATAAGGCTTGTTGCCAAGCCTGTGAATCTCCTACCAGAGCTTCAGGGCAAAAGCTCCAGGTCCCCCTGCATCCCAGCAGAGCCAGCTCACCTGGCTTCCTGCCCCCAAATGCCACTCAAAGAAGTGAACAGTGATGAAAGGCAGAAAAGTTTTAATCAGCATGACTGTGCTAGGAAGACAGATAAACAGCTTCAAGATCTGGCTTCTAGGGGCTGTCAGACAGGTTGAGGTTGTATAGAAAGTGGAGAAATGGCGGGGGGAAGTGGCTGTAGAGCTGGGGGTTGCAGTGTTGGCAGCATAAGTCATTCTAGTCGCCATGATCAGGCCAGTCACTACCTCAGGATTGGTTCTACGAGGCTCCAGGAGGAGGAGCATCGGTTGAACAGCCAATATGGGGACAGCCTGGGTCCCTGTCCTGGGATAATTGTTGCTTCTTGGGGAGGTAACCTTATCCTGTGGTGATCAGTAAGGCTTTGCGTTTCCTGAAACCTCAGGCAACTGCAAGTTTAGAACAATGACTAGAGACTGCTAGGCATTGCTCTAGCAGGTTTGGAACTGGATGTAGTGAAAACTAGCAATCAGATGTCCCTATAAAGTCTAAGAATCAGTTGCTATTATTTTGATGTTCTCAGTCTTGATAGGCCATGTGGATTCAGGGTAACTGACTAGCACTAAACAGTTTAGGTAGATGCTTTGTGAGCAAATGATTAAGGCACCTATAGGCAGAGATGAGCAGAGATCTGAACCAGAGTTGTAAGATAATAAAGGAGACAATATACAGTAAAATAAAGGCAGAGATGTCATGCTTCAGATTGCTTTCTATTGCCCACTGGGACATCTACAGGCCAAGCCTCCAAGTGACCCTTCCAGGTAGGACATGCAGAACACAAGCTAACACAGAGTTGTAAGCTTACGCAGACCCCTGCCAGGTGGAAGGATGGAGAAACAGCTTAGGAAAAGGTTCGGTGACCATATGGTCGGCCACAACAGGACCCTGTTTCCTGGCTCTCAGCCTTTCTTAGGATCTTCTTTGTGGAAGCTGCTCTCACCTGACCTCTCCAGCCTGGCTCCAGACCAGCACACAGGGCAGGCCTAACAGCCATCCTCTGACCTCTGCTCACCATAACAGTCCCGGCTTCATGGGCCAGCTTTCAGAGTCGTATGGTCAGGCCTCATAGCATCGTAGCCATGGCCATCCTTTCTTTGCCCACACTCTTTTCATGACAGAAATATCTCTACTTTCCAGGATTTTGTCTACTTTCCTCTCTCTGCATGGATGCTGACGCCAAGCTTAGGTGACCAGGAATAGTCAGTTCTAGTTCATGTCACCTCCTTGAGCACTCTACTGCTTATCCTCTAGGGCCTGAGCCACCACCGTGTTCTGGCTCTTGGCACTTCTGCCATATCTTGGGTATGACATTCCCAAAGGTCCCACTGCTAAGAGTGGCCTTTCAGTGTAGTTTTGGCTTTTCCCTCCTCCCTGAGCTTAAATCCCTACGATGGCTCCTCTTTTCTGGCTTGCTTTGACATTCACCAGTTGCCTCCCTAAACTGCTCCATGCCCACAGTTATGCTCCCTGTGGTTTTTGCCCTTGGGAGCACCAGGAGCTGTGTCTGGGCCTGACAAGCCCTCCTGTGTCTCCAGTCAGCTCAATAAATCCTCTCTCTGGAAGCACTGGGTAAGGCTTCCCTCCTGCAGGCCCCGAGTACCCCATATTTGCATGTACCACAAGGTGTTGACAGTTCTCTGGATCCAAGGGCTTTTTAAGCCTATTCTTTGTTCATCTCTCTATCTTTGGAGCACCTTATCTTTTCTAGTGTGTAGAGGGGAGGGTGAGGAAATGGGTGCATAGATGGGAGTTTAGAAGGATGGGTAAATAAATGCCAGTAGACTCCATGGTTCAGGCAGACATGGGGATTTCTCTGACGTCCTGAAAAGGAGATATACTGGAAATGGAGGCAATGTAAGTTCAGGGGGAAACTGGCAAGAAGAACCATGTGGAGGGCTCTGGGGGACCCAGAAGTGCACTGGGCTGGCCAGCCCAGCCTTTGCCTTATGCACCCCACCCCTCACAGGCAGTGGGAGTTACAATCTCAGTTCCTGAAACTGGTGGCTAAGTTGGAGCATCACAGGCAGAAGTTCTCCTCCGGAGCACGTGTCATTGATGAGGTTGTTGATACCACATTTGAAGTAAACCAGGTAAGATGAAGCAACAAAGGAGAAAAGACCTTGGGAGCTCTTGCCCAAAAGTCACAATGAGTGACAGTCACAAGGGCATTGGCTGGGAATGGCTTATTTACACACCTCTCCCCACCAGAAGACTTCAAGAAGGGACCCTGAAGAGCAGGAATCAGTGGAGATTTGAGACTCTGCCAAGTTTCCCACCACTACCGTGCGTTTGGACAAGACTCCAGTTCTTGTTTGGGCCCTTGCAGGACAGGGGTTCTAATAAAATCTTAAAACCCTAAGTGGTGCCTGGTGTGGTGGTACATGGTCATAATCCCAACACTCTAGGAGACTGAGGTAGAAGGATTACAAGTTCAAACTCAGCCTGGGCAACTTAGTAACTTATGAAACCCCATTTCAGAATTTAAAAAATAGGGGCCAGGGAGATGGCTCAGCAGAATAAATGCTTACCTGGCAAGTGCAAGGGCCTGAGTTCAATCCCTGGTTCTGCAAATAAATAAATAAATAAATAAAATAAGATAAAAAATGAGTACACCAGAGAGGCACATATGTCCTCCCTGGCTATGTGCAACACACACATGTACCCAGGGCTTCATGCACAAGGGTCTGTTCATGGATTTCTTCTGACCTTACCAGCCTCTATCAGTGCATTAGCAGTACCCAGAGAAATAATACAGAAAGTGTGCTGGGCTCAAAAACTAGTGGTACTGGAGGGGAGGGCAGTGGGCCTACTTAGGGGTGGAAGTCCCATCTGCTCCAGTGGTCAGGTGAAAAAAAAACAGACTGGAAAATCCCAGGTTATCATGGCCTGGGCAACCAGTAAATTCCTAGAATAGAGCTCAATCTCCTCATTTGGTATAAGGTTGCCAGTCGAGTAGGGATATCAAAAATCCAGAGGTCAAGAGCAGACACAGTGGCACATGCCAGTAATCCCAGCACTTGGAAAGCTGAGGCAGGAGGGGATCATCCCAAATTCAAAGCCATCTGGGCTACACAGTGAGTTCAAGGCCAGTTTGGACTACATAGATCCTATCTGAAACAGAACAAGAGTCCAAAGATCAGAGGTCATTGCCAATACCTCTCTTGCCTGAAATTAGACTAATGAAACTCAGGGGAGTGGGGTTGGGGGAGGATATTCATTCAAGTCTTTCTGACATCAGGGTGGATGAGTACAGGGACCTGTGGCATAAACCTGCTGAAGATGGGAAAGGGACCATCTAGAATGGGGAATGGGGCCGAAGCCAGATCCCAACCTCCCTGGTCTTGGGCTTATGTGAGTCCCTTGCTTTACAGCCTGAGCCTAGCCAGGATGCCCAGAGCCCCATAGCCCAGAGCCCCCAGAGCACAATAGGCTGGTGCTGGGACATTGGCCTGCACTGGCACAGCAGACCTAGCACTGGACCATGTTCAAGACCAGCACAGAGCTCCCAATCCAAGGTTAGGGGTCTTCCACCATCTACAACTATCTCACCAGTAATGGAGACCAATCCAGGGTATAACAGTTTTACCACCATCACCACCACCATACACACACACACACACACACACACACACACACACTTTTGGGCAGCACCAGATAGCAGTCTAGCTAGTGCACAGTGCCCAGGACAAACATTCTCTCTTCCCTGGTCTTGCCAAGGATGCTAGCTGGCTCAGGGCCCAGGAAAAGACTGTGCAGAGGAAATGCCATCAGGGATTTGGGTACAGATTCTAGAGGTGGAAGAGTCACTAGGCAGACATCTCTGGGGCCACACCTCACCCCAGAACTTCATACATTCATTCAACAAGAATTTCCTGCCACCTACCCCTGCTAGCCTCAGGCTGGAGCCTCCTGTTATGGTAACACCAAGGCAACAACCAACATCTGGGCTATCTGAACTGTCACAACTGATAAGCCCCAACAGAACCAGGGCTGGGAATGTCTCCCACGTCCCTATTACACACAAAACCTCACCTACCTATACTCCCAAGAGAGATTCAGTGCCTTTTCCATGGCTTCCAGATGTGGCCTTCAGAGGGCAGCAGGCAGGGCCTGAGGGGTAGCTGCTGCTCCTAAGATCCGACCCCGCATTAGACAGGGCCTTACCTGGGAGGGCACTTCATTGACAGCAGGGAAAGGTAAAAGGGTTGCTCCTCATTCCACCCCTGGTAAGCTGGTCCAGCCTGACTCTGCCAACTTCCAGGGCCCCCAGTGCACCCAGTTACTCCGCCCTGTCCCTGGCATGGGTACACAGTGGTGCCTCTGAGGAAGGACTCTGGGCATGGCAACTAGGGCGCCAGCTTATGTTTGGGGTGTGCTGCATATCTCCAGGCCATGTCGCTGAGGTGGACTCCTATTCATGTGCCCTGGCTTCTGGGACACTAGCTGGTGGCTCGTGGTACTCCAGGGTACTTCTATGGTGTGTAGGATCTACCTGTGACTGTGCGTGTGCACTACGGATTGCAGTCACAAATGCCAGCGGATAAGAATGTTGCAATTCTGTTTTCTTTAAATGATGGTAAAGCAAACCTATCCTTGCTGTGAGAACCCTCCCTCCTGTGGGCAGCAGATCTGAGCTTGCTCACTGGGGCAAGCACCTGCCAGAGGCCTTGCCCAGGACAAGACCTGGGAGAGTCCCTCTGGTGTGTGGGCCATAAGGACATCAGAAGCACTGTCCTTGTCTCCTGGGCTTCTCGACAGGTGCAGGAATGTTTGGGGACTAAGAGCTGAGTGTCCTTGGCATCAGCTTGGCCAAGCTGAACCCCACAGTGCACCCCTGAACTGCTCCTGGGTGCTGAAAGCAGGGCACAGGCTCTGCTCAGAGCGCTCACAGGCGCAGCCTAGGCAAGGCTGGGGACATCATCCTTCTCCTGCCACTTGGTCTCTCAACCCCTCCCTACCTCACAGACTGCTGGGAACTTGGCTTTGCTTGGGGCTCTTCAAGTCTGTGCCTCTCTATGTGTGATGCTGGGCTGTTTGGCCTGCTGGGTAGAGACAGCAGAAGCTGCCCTGAGGGGTGACTGAGGGTCCTGGGAGCCACAAGGAGCAGCAGTGGGGGCTGTGAGGAGAAGCAGTGAAGCACACAGGAGATACCATGCAAGAAGCAGCACTGGTCATTTATTGCAGCACATGTGGCCTGGAACCCAGCAGTGCCCCCCACCCTGTGACTACTCCCATGGTGCTGGCCCCATGATCAGCTACTGCTGCATGCAATTGTGCTTGAGAAGCTCGGTGGAATTCTTCCAGGGCACTTCAAGGACCTCAAAGTCACAGCGCAGCCTCTGTGGAGACAGCATTGGGGACAAGCAGGGCTGAGGCTGGCCCAGCCTCCTGCCAGCACCCAGCTCTCTGCTTAACACCATGCTCTGGGGCAGACATGGGCACTCCTTGGCCCAAGGGACACGGACATGGAGGCAGATGGCTGTGACTAGATCCAGCTCCCAGACCTTTCCAGCCAACTCCCCAGCCCTGGGGAAGCCCAGTGCCCCCTCCTGCATCCCACACTGGCCTGGATGTTGAGTCACCAAGGTTGGGCAGGTTTAGCCAGGTGTATCTGCACCTGTGGGTTCCTTGTGACCAGACCAGCTCAGGATGGCCAAGCTGAGGGCCTCAGGCTCTATACAGGGCTCAGGCATGGGGTATCACTCTTACCTCCTGCTCCACCCCTGTGGCCAGGGGGCAGGTGGTGAGGTCCACATGGTCTCCAGAGACCCTGGTCTTTCTGCATGCTGTGCTCTCCAAGTCTATGGTCAGGTAGTACTTGACACCAGCCACCAGCTGGGGACAACAGCAATCAGATGAGTCTTCCCTCCAGGCTCTCCCACTGCCCTGGCCCACGTGCAGGGTCCCAGCCTGGATCCCAGGGATATGGGGCAGAGGCCTGGTTCCTGCAGTACCCTGAGACTTACCTGAGAGCACCCTGCTGAAGCCAGGGAGACCACAAGGAAGAAGTCACTGGGCCTTTTCCCTCCTCCTCCCCCAGAATCCAACAAAGATCAGGCAAGGTAAAGCAAGTTGTGTGCAAAGGGTTGGATCCTGTTTCTTTGAAATTTAGAATTTTAATTTTTCATAGATTTTTGGTATTCACTTGGGTTATGTTGTCTTTTGATTTTGGCTCTTTGGCACAGGGTCTCCCTCTAGCTTGGTCTTTTGTGTGTGTGTGTGTGTGTGTGTGTGTGTGTGGCCAGCTCAGCCCACCAGGGGGCGGGGCTGGCTGGCATGTGGTGCTGGGGGATTGAACCACGGTCCCCATGCTTTGCTAAGTTTGTTCTAAGTAGGCGCTTTAGACCACTGAGCCATCTCACCAGCCCCTCTAGCTTGGTCTTGAACTCAGGATCCTTCTGCCTCAGCCTTTCCAAAGCTGAGATTACAAACCTTGGCCAAGACAACTGGCTATATTCACAATGCTTTTAGGAAGCACTGTATAACTGATTGAGTATGGAGCTCAGTGACAGTACATTTGCCTAGCACGTGCAAGACTAGACCTTGAAAGGGCCGGGGAGATAGCTCAGGGTCCTGAGTTCAATCCCCGGTACCACCAAAAACAAAAACAAACAAACAAACAAAAAAACTAGACCTTGAATTCCAGCAACACTGCTCCACACAAAAGGGCAATGTATGAAAATATGGGATGCTCTTTTGGCGCCCCACTCCCTTGGCTCTTGGCAGAATCTCCCAGACTCTGGAGCCCCGCCCAGCCCCAGCTCTCCAGGGTGCCGCACCTGTCTCTCCGCCTTGATGATGTTGGTGTCACGGAAGTAGTAGACGCTGTTGCTGCCCTGGTTGAAGGTGGTTACAGCCGTCTGCGCCATCCTCTGCACCTGCGGGTCGTTGGTGGCCAGGTTCTTGCGTTCTCCGGTCCTGCGGTCCAGCGGCTCAGCGCGGCCGTTGGAGACCTGTGCCAGGAGACAGATCGCGAACGGGGCCAGGCCTATCGCCAGCAAGAGGAGAGGACGCGCCATGGTCACCGCTGTGGTGCGGAGCGGTGGCGCGAGCGGCTTTTACGGACTCCGTGGCCCCGCCCGACGCCCCCCAGTCCGCCTGCGCCCACGCCTGCCCCGCCCCCAGGGCCAGCGAGGAGGAGCGAGGTGGTGAACAGGCCTGAAGACACCTGCGGCTGGATGCCTCCCGGTGCAGTCCACGAAGGGCAAGGACAGCAACAGCCGCCAGCAACAAGTACCATCATAGGAAGTTTATGGGATATTTGTGTAGTGTGGACTATCACTAGCACCCGTGACTGAGCTCTTCTCTTCACCATGTCCTACTGTGTGATCTCGGAGTAGTTACTTAACCTCTCACTACCACGTTTTCCTTTTCTAAAAAATAGGTAGTGAGAGAATTCAGTGACCTGACTCAGGCAAAGAGCTTAGCTTAGAAGAGGCCAGATGCTGTATAAGCAACAGATAAGGAGGCAACATTACTGAGCCAAAGCGTTTAATCCTAGCCAGGAAAAATGAGAATAGTTTCTTCCTTATGGGATTGAGGCATCCAATATTCCCAAATAGTGCTTTTATTTTATTGTTATTTATTTACGTGGCAGAGCTGGAGTCCAACCTCAGGGCCTGGGCATGCTAGGCAAGTACACTACCACTGAGGTACATCCTGAGTCAGCTATCCAATGCTTCCTAAAAACCAAGTGACACAGCCAGAGTGGGGGCTTATGCTTGTCATCGCATCACTCTGGAGGCTGAGGAAAGAGGATCTTGAGCTCCTCCTTACACAGGAGGAAAGAGGACAGAACTGACTTGCCCAGTGGTAACTAGTCAATGGAGATCTTGGGGGCCAGGGAGATGGCTCAGTGGAATAAGTGCTTCCCTGGCAAGCGCAAGGGCCTGAGTTCAATCCCCGGTTCCGCCAAAAAAAAAAAAAAAGTCATTCAAAGGAGATCTTATCTTTTGAACCTTGCCACCCTAAGTCAAATCTGTGCCAAAAGATGATAACTGGCAAGAAGGAGAGCTAGTCATACCAGCTGCCACCTTACTGACCCAGTGCCACCTTACTGACCCAGTGACTTAGGACAAGTCCCTCAACTTCCCACAGTCTCATTGTCCTTGAGGGGGAAAAAAAGACAGCCCTTAGAAAAAAATCATCCTGACATCAATGGCTCTAAACCAAGTCTAGGTACACTGGATGTGGGCTACCAGTGCCTGCAAAGTAGGGACTCGCCAACTTTTCTTTTCTTTTCTTTTTCTTTTTTTTTTTTTTTTTTTTTTTTTTTGTGGTCCACTCAGCCTGCCCTGCTGGCAGGGCTGACATGGCATGTGGTACTGGGGATCAAATCATGTCCCTGCACTAGCCTAAGCTGCCTAAACAGACACTTTAGACCACTGAGCTATCTCACTGGCCCCTCCCCAACTTTTTTAAAGAATCTAATAAAAGATTCTTTATTTGAAAGAATCAAGTAACATCTCTAAAGCAGTCAACACAGGAAAAGCCTGGATTTTGTTAGAATGCTTTGTGTTTCACAATTCTGTGTACCCTGTACTTAAAATTCCATATTGCTGGCAGGACCAAGGTATTCATTTGTCCTTGGGTCTTAAACACAGCTTGCTTGAAAGAGGTGGTCACAGTGGCTGGCAAATAGTTGGTGCTTAGTAAGTGGTAGCTTTTAGTGTGATGAGTATTATAAGTAGGCATCCAGCATATTCCTATCCCCATTTCTAGACCTCAGAATCCCAGGCCCATGAGGAAGTGGTTTCTCAGACCAGGGCATCGTTACTTCCCAGTCCAATACCAGCAGGCCTTCCCACTCCCTTCACTCAGCTATGAAAAACAAACTGCCACCTCCCTGGGATTCCATAGACTGGTTACCAGTTTGTTCCAGGATCAGGTGTCTGTCTTAAAGGGACAGGGTCCAGTTTGTGGCCCAGGATTGGCTTGATGAGCAGGCCATGGCCCAGCAGGGACTATGAGATGAAAAAGCCTGAGTGGGGCTAGAGTAAGTGGCACCTGTTGGCCCCAGGGAAGAGGTGGCAGAGATGGCCCCAAGCAGCCAGGGAACCCTCTTTTGGCTCCCCTAGCTCCGCTCTTCTGTTATGAAGCCATAACTGCCATAGCTCCCTCAGCAACTATGCAGATCCCCAGCTCAATGGAACCTACCCTGCCTGTCACAACTTGGTGCTGGTGCCACTAAGCCTTTGGTACCACAATCTAGCAGTTTCCAAGGATCTGTCACCCACCAGTCACTTCTTACAAGCATCTAGGTAGTTCACAGGTCTGAAGTACTTCTCTACATGTGGTATCTTAGAGAGAAGAGGGGGAGAGGCAAGGGCAAGGGCAAGTGACCATCAGTGGGCTCTTGACTTGTGCCAGATCTTGGAGCAGGGCTTCACACTGTCCTCCTATCCCCAGAGTGGGCTATAGAGCAGTGATGATCCACTCTCCCTGCAAGAAGGAAATGGGAAGGGACTGGGGGGAGGGGCACAGTGGTTTTGGAGTGATGCCCATGTGACAGCAGTGCTCTGTGTGTGAGCCTCAGGTTGCCCCACACATAAGGTCTGCTGCACAGAGGAAGTTCCCTGAAGGTGGACTGTCTGGGGGAGGGGTTTCCAGGACTAGGGTTCATCTGGAACAGAGCCTGCAGCCTGGACTCCATCCTGTCTGCACCACTCTGGCTTCTAGAAAAAGTGCTGAACTAAGCATGGACTTGTGAATGGCCATCCTCACAGGCCACAGAGCACAACTCCCAGTTTTGCTGTGAGGTAACATCCAACCCAGGTTGCCTGCAGCATCTCTTGCCCCTGGATGAATGCATCTTCATGATCAAGATGGGCCCTCAACATTCCTTACCCCTGGGATCAGACCCTACAGGACCTTCTTATCACCCAAAACCCTCTTCCTTGAGCCTCCAATCTGATGGAGAACATCCCTTCCCTCCCAGGACACCTGTCGCTACCGATGACAATACAGTGTTCAATCTAAACCACCAGTGTTCCATCCTGGCTCTTTGTTTAGTTTATCCTCCTATTGTCCCAAGATGTAGCCAATACACAGAAAATGGAAGAGGACCTACAAGTTCTGCTTATCAGATGATTTCAGAGTCAATGCATATATTTCTATCCCACTGGTCAAGAAAGGGAAATGTTACTTTCACCTCCAAGTCCTTATAATCATACCCTTGTCCCCTTCCCCAAAGATGGTCACTATTGATATTTTCTTTACTACAAAATTTTGCAACAAGCATTTGCATGATTTTCTTTTCAGTTTTATCACCTATGTAGGGATAACTAAGCAAGAACTTACTTTTTCTTTTTTTCACATGAGGAGAGTACAGCCAGGGCCTCAGTGCTTGCTACTCACTCTACCATACCTCTACCATAAGCTGCAACCCCAATAAAAGAATTTAACCTTACAAAAGTGGAAACACATCATTTTTTCTTAATTTGCACAACATTGAGATTCACTGGTTTTACACAGCTCCTAGGGTGCTCTGCATGCCACCTCTGCTGTTCAATGCTGCCAACATCCAGGGCCCCCAATGCACCCAGTTACTCTGCTCTGTCCCTGGCATGAGTGCACACTGGTGCCTCTAAGGAAGGACTCTGGGCATGGCATCTAGGGTGCCAGTTTGAATTTGGAGTCTGCTGCATGTCTCTAGGCTATTTCTGGGGTGGACTCCTGTTGCGTGTGCCGACTTCTGGGACACTACCTGGTGGGTGGTGATGCTCTGGAGTACTGTGGTACCTGGGATCTACCTGTGATTGTATGTGTATACATGTGAGACTATGGATTGTAGTCACAAATGTCAGTGGCAAAGAATGTTGCAACTCTGTTTTCTTTAAATGATGGTAAAGCAAACCTATCCTTGTTGTGAGAACCCTCCCTCCTGTGGGCAGCAGATCTGAGCTTGCTCACTGGGGCAAGCACCTGCCAGAGGCCTTGCCCAGGACAAGACCTGGGAGAGTCCCTCTGGTGTGTGGGCCATAATAAGGACATCAGAAGCACTGTCCTTGTCTCCTGGGCTTCTCGGCAGGTGCAGGAATGATTGGGGACTAAGAGCTGAGTGTCCTTGGCATCAGCTTGGCCAAGCTGAACCCCACAGTGCACCCCTGAACTGCTCCTGGGTGCTGAAAGCAGGGCACAGGCTCTGCTCAGAGCGCTCACAGGCGCAGCCTAGGCAAGGCTGGGGACATCATCCTTCTCCTGCCACTTGGTCTCTCAACCCCTCCCTACCTCACAGACTGCTGGGAACTTGGCTTTGCTTGGGGCTCTTCAAGTCTGTGCCTCTCTATGTGTGATGCTGGGCTGTTTGGCCTGCTGGGTAGAGACAGCAGAAGCTGCCCTGAGGGGTGACTGAGGGTCCTGGGAGCCACAAGGAGCAGCAGTGGGGGCTGTGAGGAGAAGCAGTGAAGCACACAGGAGATACCATGCAAGAAGCAGCACTGGTCATTTATTGCAGCACATGTGGCCTGGAACCCAGCAGTGCCCCCCACCCTGTGACTACTCCCATGGTGCTGGCCCCATGATCAGCTACTGCTGCATGCAATTGTGCTTGAGAAGCTCGGTGGAATTCTTCCAGGGCACTTCAAGGACCTCAAAAGTCACAGCGCAGCTTCTGCGGAGACAGCCTTGGGGACAAGCAGGGCTGAGGCTGGCCCAGCCTCCTGCCAGCACCCAGCCCTCTGTTTAACACCATGTTCTGGGGCAGACATGGGCACTCTTTGGCCCAAGGGACACGGACATGGAGGCAGATGGCTGTGACTAGATCCAGCTCCCAGACATTTCCAGCCAACTCCCCAGCCCTGGGGAAGCCCAGCATCCCCTCCCTGCACCCCACACTAGCCTGAATGTTGAGTCACCAAGGTTGGGCAGGTTTAGCCAGGTGTATCTGCACCTGTGGGTTCCTTGTGACCAGACCAGCTCAGGATGGCCAAGCTGAGGGCCTCAGGCTCTTTGGCATCAGCTTGGCCAAGCTAAACCCCACAGTGCACCCCTGAACTGCTCCTGGGTACGAAAAGCAGTAGGGCACAGGCTTTGCTCAGAGCGCTCACAGGCACAGCCTAGTCAAGGCTGGGGACATCATCCTTCTCCTGCCACTTGGTCTCCCAGGTTTCAGGCATGGGGTACCACTCTTACCTCCTGCTCCACCCCTGTGGCCAGGGGGCAGGTGGTGAGGTTTACATGGTCTCCGGAGACCCTGGTCTTTCTGCATGCTGTGTTCTCCAAGTCTATGGTCAGGTAGCACTCGACACCAGCCACCAGCTGGGGACAATGGCAATCAAGTGACGGGTATGTAACCCTCTCCTCCTCCAGCTTCTCCTACTAAGCTGGGCCACGTGCAGGGTCCCAACCTGGAACCCAGAGATATGGGGCAGAGGCCTGGTTCCTGTAGCACGCTGAGACTCCCCTGGGCTCAGCACACTAAAGTCTGGGCAGCTGAGAGTGTAGCTTAGCAGTAGATCCCTTGCGCTCTATGCATGAGACCTAAATTCAATCTCCTGGGCCAGTAAGATAGCTCAGTGGACTAAGCGCCTGCTTGGGCAAGCGCAGGGACCAGGCTTAGATCCGGATCCTGGCATCACATGCTGTGTCAGCCTTGCCCGGTGACACACTGAGCCAGCCATTGGGTGTGGTGTTGCACGCCTGTAATCCCAGCGCTGGGGAGCCTGAAAACAGAAGGATCACTTTGAGTCCAAGCTATGTAGTGAGACCCTATACAAAATACATTTCAAAAAATAAATTAAATAAAAATAAATTAAAGCTGGGGAGATGGCTGAGGAATAAGCGCTTCCCTGGCAAGCGCAAGGGCCTGAGTTCAATCCCTGGTTCCACAAAAAAAAAAAAAATTAAAAATAAATTCAATTCCCAATATGAGCTCATGGTGAATACAAGAGTTACCATCGTCCCCTCTGCCTCCCCTCCATTCCTAGCTGGCAGGGACCAGAAGGAAGCAAATGAATTAGTTTCTAGATACTAGGCAAAAAAGTCACTTTTGCCGGCCCTTTCACTTAAAAAAAAAAAAAAATTAGGTACTTTGTGGTTGGGGACTGCTGCTCTTCAAAAGTCAATTTTTGTACACAGTGGATTTTGGTCTTCATCTTTAAAATTTGTAGGGTTGGGGATACAGCCTAGCAGCACAAGCATCTGTCTGGCAAGCACAAGGTCTGATTACTAGTAAAAACAAACAAAGGGAAAAAAAAAAACCCAGACAGCAACTATCAAAGAAGAATAGCCATGGCCCTCTGATATACCATGGCCATGGGCCTCAACAAGGGCCACAAGGTGACTAAGAATGTGAACTGAGGGACAGCTGCCGTCGCTGACATCTCACCAAACACACCAAGTTCATGCGGGACATGATCTGGGAGGTATGCGGCTTTGCCCCCTAAGAGCGGCACACCATGGAGCTGCTCAAGGTCTCCAAGGACAAGCACACCCTCAAGTTCATCAAGAAAAGGGAAGGGACACACATCCAAGCCAAAAGGAACCGTGAGGAGCTGAGCAACGTGCTGGCTGCCATGAGGAAGGCAGCTGCCAAAAAGAACTGAGCCCCTCTGGAATAAAGCTTTGAAGAAAGTTAAAAAAAAAAAAAATTTAAAAATTGCTGTATGAGGCAGACATGGTAGCAAATACATGTAATCCCAGCACTTGGGATGCTGAGGCAGAAAGATTCCTACAAGTTTGAGGCCAGCCTGGGATATATAGCAACTGCAAAAAAACACAATGTCAATAGTAGGTCCTAAAAGGATAGCTCAAGTCATAAGTCATGTGCTTTTGATAAGCCCAGGGCCCTGGGCTTAACTGCTAGCATAAAAAAAAAAAAAACCACCACACACAGTAAGAAAAAGTGTTCTTGGGGGAAGGAAACAGATTATAGGTGTGTACTGCTTTACCAGGCTTGCCGTTTTTTTTTTTTTTTTTTTTTTTTTTTTTGGGGGGGGGGGGTACTGGGAATCAAACTCAGGATCTTGTGCTTACCAGGCAGGCACTCTACTGCTAAACCATATTCTGGGCCCTAGGAATTTAAGAACATACTTTCTAGCTTTATCATCTATACACAGATCCTTATGCATGAATTTACTTAACATGGCTGGTCCTTTGTCTTGCTTCATTTGCTTAGCACTGAGATTTGTTGTTCTGCCATTTGATTTTTGTGTATTTTTCAGACAGGGTCTCACTATGCAGCTCTGGCTGGCCTTGAGCTCACTTTGTAGCCCAGGCTGGTTTTAAAGTCACAATGATCCTCCTGCCTCAGCCTCCAGAGTGCTGGGATTACAGCCATGTGCCATCATGCCTTATTCTGTTTTGATTTCTTTTTTTGAACCAGGAATTGAACTCAGGACCTTGTGCTTGCTAGGCATGCACTTGAACCACTGAGCTAAATCCCTGGCTGTTTCGATTTTTTTCAAATAGAGCTTCACTATGTAGTCCAGGCTGGCCTTGAACTCAGCAATCTTCCTGCCTCCAGAGAGCTTGGATTAAAAGTATGTACCACCACGCCCAGTAGTTTTAATTACTTTACTCACTGTAGTATCAGGAACCATGAGAGCTGTGTCCTGCCCAGGCTCTTAAAAACAATGCAGCTGTGCGTATTGGTACAGGTCCTGCCACAGGTGTGCAGGAGTTTCTCTGAGGGAACTGCTGGCTCAGGAGGTGTGTCGGCTTTACAAAATAACACCCAACTGTTTTCCTAGTGTTCAATGCAATTTGCACTCCCACCAACTGGGTATCAGTTCCTGTTACTACATTTACTCAACATTTGCTATTGTCTCTTTAACATTTTTGCCAATTGGGTAGGTGTTGATGGCATTTGTTTTCCTGATTACTAATGAAATTGAGGCCTTTCACATGCCCACTCTTTTCCAGTATTTTTTAATCAATTTTCCTATTGTGTCGTCTACCTTTTTCTTGGCTGCAGTTCTTCATGTGCTTTGGTTACTGTCCTTTGCTTAACACTGTGCAACTATCCTTTTCCATTCTGGGTTTTTCTCTTCACTCTATGGTTTAAACAAAATTTCTAAGAGTTAAATTTGCCAACTTTCTCTTAATTCTTCTTACCCTGAGATCACTAATTACTTCATATTATCACAATTTTTGTACTTGTTTTAACATCACTCGCCTCCCCAGACAGTAATCATTACGTTGAAAATTATTTTGTAGGGGGGGAAAGAAAATTATTTTGTTTTCATTGTAAGCAAGTCACTGCTCAATGATGCTATTAAAGGGATGAATTTAAAGTACAAGTAGAAGTATACAACTAGTACATTTTCCATACAGCAACTTCAATTCTCAAAAGGAGAAACTGAGGCTCAGAGAGACTGACAGACATGATCAAGGAATACAATCTTCTAGACATAGGGGTATACAAATTCCAATCTGGTTACTTCCCAGAAAAATTAGCAAAGAGTCCCAAATTTCTTCACCTGGGGGTGGGGAAAAGGGACACACTGGCTTGGCTGGGCACGGTGGGACACATTTGTAATGCCAGCACTTGGAAGGCTTAAGGCAAGACAATTGCTGAAGTTCAAGGACAGCCTGAACTGTACAGTGAAACCCTGTTTTGAAAAACAAAACAAAACCCAAAAAAAGGAATTAACAGTACTGAATTCAAGTGTAACTCTCAAGCCCTCCAACCTAGAATGCCTGTGACTCCTTATCCCTTCCTAAATCCCAGAAGGCAAGAAAGCAGACAATGTGATGAATGGCAAGTGAACTCTGACCCACATCCAGTTCACCTTTTTCCTAGTATTTCTAACTCCTACTCATTTTTTCCATCAGGTGCTGCCTAGCCCAGCTACTGACTTGACTGACATCCGGAACACCACAGCCTACCTGGCTCCCAGGAAGAGATCAACCCACACTCTCTCACATTATTCAGGGACTGGATCACTCTGAGGCACCAGCCCAATGCCCACATGCCTAGGGCGGCTACCCTCTGGGAATGGGAAGTTCCCAGTTTCAGTCTGCATTGATAAGGAGTGCAGCAGAAATGGTCGGCCCCTTGGGAAAAGACAACTCCCAACCCACTTACTTTTCAAAACACACCATCTAGTCAAGAAAGCCGCTGACTTTATTAATCTAAAAACAATGACTGTTCTGTCAAAAAAGAGAGCCAAATGGCATCATACGGACCAGAGATGAGGTGGAAGTGAGGGAGAAGGACTGGGAATCCACTCAAGACAGCTGGTAACTATCGCCAAGGAATTGGCAAGGGAAGGATGAGAAAGGGAGATGCATGCAAGAGTGACATTTCCAAAAAGTTAAAATGATGTGGGGGAGAGAACTCCCAAAAGACCCTTGAATACATCACAGGTGAGTACGACAACAGCAATCTTTTCCATTGTAGAAGAGAGTGAGGTGCCCCCACTCAGCTGTGAACTCTAGAGACTCGGACCCTGGGGCTAGGGATTGAGGGCTCCCCAGACAGCATCACAAGAAGGCATCACACCACTCCCGGAGGCACCCGAAGCAGTCCCGGGACTGCTTGGCGTTGGCACCACACGTGTCCTTCAGCCATTCCCGGAAGAGGTCTTCATCTTTCTTTAGCACCAGAAATTGGCCAAGGACCACATAGGCCTGCAAAACAGGTAAAGGAAAGGTACTGCTGCTAAATACTCTGTGGTCTTCAGCCACATCAGCCTGAAGTGCCAGATCTTGTTTGGTCCAAAACAGATTAGTACTAGGATCAGAGAGCAAGTACTTTTGTAGCATTCTAAACACAAAACTCCAGCTTTACCTTTCAAGGGCAGATTATGCCCCACCCCATCACCACCAAGTAGCCAAAGCCAACTCAAATTATCCACCAACCCCAGCCCTTACATACACCCACTTTCCTCACTGTCAATCTGTTCTGAAATAATGTAGTTTCCCCAGGAACACACAGCCTCCCACACCTTGTCAAAGCCTCTTTCCTCCAATTTCTTGCCCAGGACGTCACCAATCCCAGCCAGGCACCCCACTGGCTTTTCCCCCATGGGCTCTGCGACGAAGTCTCGGTGCTTTTGGGACGTTGTCATCTTGATCAGGCTTAACCTGGGAATCCCAAGACAAAGCAGGTTAGGACTGAAAACCAGAAAATCCTAGCACTCTTATATTAAAAGGAAGATATACCAGCCACTATGGCAGTTCATTCTCATTTCACCAATGAAAAAACGATCTGGAAGAATCTCCCCCTACTGGAAAGAGAAATCTCTTTCAGTTTCGGGGTGACTAGATTTCTGTATGCCCTCAGTGGAAATACTATCCTGCTCTTAACAGGTGGCACTAGGAGGGCACTGGGAAGATTCCCCGGATCATCAGCCAAGACACGCCCTAACGCTGTCAATCCCTAGGTGACATTGGCTTGGAGGAGGGTATACTAACGCTGCCCAGGACACCCAGGGTGGGATAAGTCAACCACAAGTCTCAGCTCTACTCGTCCCCACACGACTACGCAACAGACTATGCAAGCGAAGCACAGGATGCCAGCGCCACAGCCGCCCCAGCAGCCTCCCAAGACCCACCACCACCACTCCCAGTTCCAACACACGCTGCCCCGCCTCCGACACACGTCGCCCCGCCCCCTCCACGCGCCCCGGCTCCCATGCGCCTTTCCTTCCCTCAGCGCAGTACAGCCCAAGGCAAAGGCGCTTCCTCTGGTTCACTACAGCGACAGAGCCTCTTTATTCACCTTTTCCCTCCGTCTCCTCCCGCTACTAAATAAGACCCGGTTCCCCGGCTCACACTCACCGGCAGCTTTAGCACCGCTAACGGTTCCTCCCGCTACTCGACTGCTCTCGCACAGGTCTCAACACTAGAACTTTCTTCAACTTCCGCTTCCGGGTCGCCTGAAGACCCGCCTTAAAAAAATTCAAAATTAGGTACTTCTAGCCACTGAAGGCCATAGAGTTGAGGTGCCCTCGCTATCATGGCGTCTCCAGTAGTTGCCGCTTTCCAGTCCTCAGAAAACTAGGCTTTCTTATGCATTCTGTCTTTCTTACAGCACTTACAGTCTTAAGAGAAACCTCCAAGAGGTTTACTTTCTCGGACGGCCGGTATCCGGAACTCAAGCAAAGAGGCCTGACCGATCGGACTGTGGGAAGCATTACAGGGACGGAAACCAGAGAGGAAATGCAGTCGGAATGCTTCCCAGAGTGCGCCGGAAGTACAGGTGTCTGCACATTCTAATTCGGGCCATCGTCCTCGCAATCCGGTGGGCGAAAACCCAAAGCGCTAGCTCTCGGGAGTCCAAATTTACGCTGTCGTGCGACTACCATCAAGTTCCATTTCTGGGGTTTCGTTGGCTTGCCTTGAAGTGATTTATAGACGAGTCGCTCTCAACTTCCAGCCTGGGAAACGAGGTTGTTCAGGCAGTGCCTGTGGGACGCGAGAGCCAGAGACAGTAAGTGGGTGTTTTTTTTCTGAGGCGCTTTCCTCTGGAGTAGAGTGAGACAGATGACGTGTCGGAGATTTCTTTGGAAGAATTCCGTCTTAGGACCGGGGAAATAGCTCAGTAGAATTAGCGCTTGCCCGCGCTTGCCTGGCAAGTGCAGGGTCCCGAGTTCAATCCCCGGTACCGCAAAAAAAAAAAAAAAAGAATTTCGTCTTAGTGATACCAGTTTTTTTCTTTGGAGGACCCATATGCCACAGCTTGAGTCCGCATACCTGGACCTTTAAGTAATTTCTAGTTTGGACAGTCGTAGTGATCACCAAATTAGTTTATGGGGCATGATAGAATATTAAGGGTTGTGTGGCTTTGCTAGATTTGGGGGTACAAGTATGTTGAGAAGGTAGTTTTCAAGCTTCTTCCAGAGAGGAAACCAGAATGAGTTCCGTGGGACATGTATATAGTTGGATAGTCACCAGTAAGCCCGATAACAGGAGTTAATCTCATATGACACATCCTGCAGTGTTTTTATCATTATTTTATGGCTGTTCTGAGTTAGGTATTGTTTTTCCTGGGCCCCAGAGAAGTTGAAGAGTTAGGAAATAAGCTGGGTACAGTGTCCCATTCCTGGAGGCTGGGTCTGGGCATATCACTGACACCGTATCTCAATTTTTGTTTTTTATTTGTGTATTTAGTACAGGGCCTCACTACATAGGTCCAACTTGTAGTGATCCACCTGTTTTCAGCCTCCCAAGAGCTGGGATTACAGGCATGCACCACCACCACTAGGCGACCAGTCTCAATCACCGGCTCCGCGCGCCCCAGGGGCAGGGGGCAGGGAGCAGGCCAACATGATTTACGGTGTTGGGGATCAAACCCCAACCCCTGCGCTCTGATTAAGCAGGTGCGTTAGTCCGCTGAGCTATCTGGCTGGTTCTGACACCCCATCTCAATTTTTTTTTTTCCAGTTTTTTTAAAAGGTCAAATTTGGCGCGGGGGAGATGGTTCAGCGGAATAAGCATTTCCCTGGCAAGCGCAAGGGCCTGAGTTCAATCCCGGTTCCACCAAAAAAAAAAAGGTCAAATTTAAGTGAAAGGGCTGGGAAGTGTTCCTCAGTTCAAAGGCCATGGGCTCAATTCTCAGAACTGCAAAAGATAATAAGGCAGATTTTGAATTCAGGTAATGAGATCTTAAGAGTCCATGATTTTAAGCTAGGTAGGGTACTGTATTATTTCTTAGTTAAAAGCTTCTCCCTGTCTTCCAAATAGTCCTGGCTTCTGAGACTGCCATCCAAGAAACTCAGGAAGAGGATCTGACAATTTCCCTAAGCACCCCGTGCCTGGACCCAGAATGTCACAGGCCACCAAGAGGAAGCATGTGGTGAAGGAGGTGCTCGGGGAGCACATAGTACCCTCTGACCGACAACAAATAGTGAGAGTGAGTGGCATCAGGTGCAAACTGCTTCCCACCCAGCCCTTCACTCCTATTGGATCCTTAGGGTGGGGATAAGGTGCAGTGCAGCTCAGGGATGCAAGATCTGACTGATGAGGCTGATTGAGCCTTGGTCTCTCCTGGACTAGGTACTCAGGACCCCAGGGAACAATTTACATGAGGTAGAGACGGCTCAAGGGCAACGCTTCCTGGTGAGCATGCCCTCGAAGTACCGCAAAAACATCTGGATCAAGAGAGGTGAGAGAGCCAGCCCCACAAGGGATATAAGCATTTTCTGTGGCTGAGGCTTTCTCCATCACAAATAAGACTGGCTTTGTTTTTTCTCAACTACAGGGGACTTTCTTATTGTCGACCCCATTGAAGAAGGAGAAAAGGTGAAGGCTGAGATCTCCTTTGTGCTCTGCAAGGACCACGTGCGCTCTCTACAGAAGGAGGGGTTCTGGTAGGGTGGACGCCTTCATTTTTGATACTCTAGCTTTTGTGGGGGGACTGACTGACTTAGGAAATTAAGGGAGGGAGGATCATGACATCCCAGGCAGTCACAGCTGGAAACGGTTGTTTTGCTAAGAGGTTCTGTTTACCTTGACCTGGTTCTTATTGTCATACAGGCCTGAGGCCTTCTCTGAAGTGGCTGAGAAGGACAACAACAACAGGAGCAGGTAAGGGACAAGTCCCACTCAGGGGACTTGAGACAGAAAACAGGTCCATCCCCTGGTACCTTAGGGGGAAGATTGAACCTTCCTTTTTCTCTTTGTAGGATGCATCAGTTCAGCTCCTAAGTCCATGGTAGAATAAGTGGTTATGAGGATACTCATAAAAAATGTTCTTAGTTAAAACCTGGCTTTGCCAAGTTGTAGCTGAGTGACTTTAAACAGGTTGCTTAATAGCTTAAGACTTTCTTTCCACATCTATAAAATGAGAACTTTGTGAGGAGTAAAGGGGCTAATGTTTGGCATATTGCATGTGACGTGTGGGCCCATTGTGTTGATTAGTGGTAGAGAATTGTTACAATTCTTAACTGAAACCAAAGGCCTTTTGAGGAGGGGTGCGGGTGCTTATTTTCTTAGGCCAAGTGTTCTCACTGTTCTGTGTGTCCCTCCTTTTCACCTCAAAGGGCTGCTGCTTTTCTGTAGGCCTGTCGGTCTCTTTTTTTCTTTTTTTATGTATTTAGTATAGGTCTACAGGATCTACAGGGTCTCACTATATAGATTGGACTTCTAGTGATTCTCCTGTTTTCAGCCTCCCAAGGGCTGAGACTGCAGGCACGCACCACCATGCCCAGTCTCAATTGATGACTCAGCCCAGGGAGCTCGGGCCCAGGGAGAGGAGGCTTGGGCCTGGGGGTGGGCTCAGGCCCAGGCTCATAGGGATTGAACCCCAGGCCCACTGCACTCTGCCTGAGCAGGTTCTTTAGTCCACTGAGCTATCTGTCAGGCCCTTTGGCCTGTGGGTCTCGACTGCCTGGAAACTTGGCTGTCTTTTTCTCAGACTTCTTAGTAGCACGTCTGGGTTTCTCATCTGAGGAGGTCTTGGGCTAACTCTTTTCCCCCCTCCCCTTGCAGACAAACTGAGCCAGAGCTTCCAGCTGAGCCACAGTCATCAGAAGAATCTGGTTCTGAAGATGACTCTGACCTCTTTGTTAACACCAATCGCAGACAATATTTTGAGAGTGAGGAGGAGAGTGAAGAAGAAGAGGCAGCTTGAGACCTGGGATCCTCTTTTCCGCTTGCTCAGGGACTAGTCCCAGGGTTCCCTGGCTTGGACATTCCCATGGTGCCCTGCAGATCTTTTCCGCTGGATGGGGACAAGGCAGGACTCCTCTCTGAACCGTTCTTCTGACTTCAGCAAATTAAACCCCTGGTGGGTGGTGACTTGTATGGTGTCTGAGTGGCTGTCTGGGAGAAGGAGACTTGGGAAGCAAAAATCTGCTCCATGGGGGGTTGAGGGCCAGTGGGCAAAATGGGAAGGAAATGGGGGTGGGCAAGTGGTTGGCCCACATGCTTTCTCTCTCACTGGGCAATTAGTGCCAGGCCTTGTGCTGTTCTCCTTGCATGTGTTTATCAGCTAGGAGCCGCCCCACTTCATTTGTTGCCTGCTTGCATTTAGTTCCAGTTCAAGCATTCAGGGATACAACCTAGGACCTAATACCCACCGGCCTCTAAGCTGCCAGGACAAATTTTATGGTGCCTCATGAGCTATTTCCCTGTCTAGTCTTCCTTTCCAGGAGTGCACAGCACCTGCTGCCCTATGTCCACTGAGTGGACCCTACCTTTCTCACCCTTCCCCATCTGTTACCACTGGAAGCTGTGTTTTGTGGTCTGCAAAACCTATACTGATACCTGATTTTATTTGGAACTGGGTTAGTTTATGAGAATACTGACATCCTATAACTTTTATTTTTTAACATATTTAGTACAGGGTCTCACTACACAGATCAGACTCATAATGATCCTCCTGTTTTCAGCCTCCCAAGAGCTGGGATTATAGGCGTGCATCACCACACCCAGTCTCAGTTGCCATCTCAGTTGCCCCATAGAGGGGCCAGCACAGCACACCAGGGATTGAACCCCAGTCCCTGAGCCTGCCTAAGCAAGTGCTTTAGTCTGCTGAACTAGCTGGCCAGCCCTTGATTGTTTGTTTGTTCTGTTCTGTTTTGTTTTTTGTGGAACCAGGAATTGAACTCAGGCCCTTGCACTTGCCAGGTCAAGCTCTTATTCTGCTGAACTATCTCCCCAGCCCCTTGATTGTTTTAATACTGAATTCAATTACATTAATAGGTTTCCTTAATTTTGAATGAACTTTGCATTCTGATACACACCCTGCCTAATTTTGCAGGGTTGTTTTGTTTTGGTTTGGTTTGTTTAGGATAGGGTGTACAGGGTCACACGATCGGACTCATAGTGATCCTCCTGTTTACAGCCTCCCAAGTGCTGGGATTACAGGTGTGTGCCACTACACCCAGTCTCAATAGCAGTCTCAGTGCACCCCAGGCATGAGGCCAGCACGGCCAGCCCGGGGATCAAACTCCTGGCCCCTGCATCTAAGCAGACACTTTAATCCACTGAGCTATTTGGCCGGCCCATGCAGTATATTATTTATTCATTTAGTATTACATCGCTGAGTCAGTTTTATTTATTTATTTTTTTTGATACTGGGATTGGAACTCAGGACCTGGTACTTGCCAGGCAGGTGCTATGCCACTAAGCTATATTCTTGGCCCTACTTTTTTTTCAGTTAGCTTCTTGGCAAGCATCATAGCACATGCCCATAATCCCAGCACTAGGAAGGCTGAGAGAGGAAGGTTGCTGTGGAAGGTTGCCTGGAGTTCATAAGACCTTGTCAATAAATAAGGGAGCAAGCTCCTTGCTCTGTTTTGTGGGTTTGTTTTTTTTTTTTTTTTTAATTGTTTTTAGGGGGGGGAGCTCAGCCCACCAGGGGGCGGGGCTGGCTGGCATGTGGTGCTGGGGGATTGAACCGTGGTCCCTGTGCTTTAGCTAAGCTTGTTCTAAGTAGGTGCTTTAGACCACTGAGCCATCTCACCAGCCCATCCTTGCTCTGTTTTGATAACTTCATTATGCTAGCCTTGTGGAAGGAGTTTGGTGATGTTTAATCTTCTGGTTTAACAGTTTATAGGACAGAAGTTTGTTTCTTCATTTTGCCTTATTCATAAAAACATCATAGCTAAGTATGGTGGCACAGTCCTGTAATTTAAGGACTTTGGAAGAATGGGGCAGGGAGAGCCCAAGTTTGGACAAAGTAGCAGTTTATCCACTGTCTAAAATTTTTTGAGGGGCTGGGGAGATGGCTCAGTAGAATAAGCGCTTGCCTGGCACAAGGGTCTAAGTTCAATCCCCGGTTCCGTAAAAAAAAAATAAAATAAAATAAAATTTTTTGAAAAGTAAAGAGACCAAGAACTGGGTGTGGTGGAACACACCTGTAATCCCAGCACTTAAGAGGCCAAAAGGGCAGAAGTCCTTGGTTTAAACTCTAGTCCTGAAGTGGTCTGTTTGGGCCTTTTTTTTTGGCAGAACCGGAGATTGAACTCAGACCCTTGCGCTTACTAGGGAAGCACGTATTCCACTGAGCCATCTCCCTGGCCCCTGTTTGGGCCTTTTTTAAAAGGATAAATATTTGCCTTTTGCTTACTCCTGTGGCATACTGTTTATGAAGTTTTCTACTTTGTTTTGGCTCTTTTTTTTTTTTTTTTTTTTTTTGTTTTTTTAAACTGGATCTTGGACCAGGAAGATAGCTCAGTAAGGTCCTGAGTTCAGTCCCCAGTACCACAAAAAATAAAAATAAACTGGATCTTATATGTGCCTAGGCAGGGCTTGGCAATATAGGAGGCAGATAAGACCAACAAACGTGTCTTGAATTCTGTATTTTCTCCTTGGTTAGTTTTCAAGAGGTCTGTCTGCTGGGTTTTCCATTCTTTTTGATTGCATTTATCTGCTGATTTTTTTTAGTATTTTGAATTATATGTGAAGTCAATTTCAATTTTTTTTAATACAAAAACATCCCATGAGTACTGCTTTAGCTCTTCACTTTATGTATGTTGTGTGCATTTTGGGCATTGTATCTATGACTCTGTACTGGGAACTGATCAACCCTCAGTAGTCTGCTGTGGGGTGGGGTATAGCAAGGGATAAAGGAAGACAAAAGAGAATTTCGAAGGTTTAGGAGGATCAGGAAGTCAGTGCCTCAGGTTGGGCAAAAGCCCATTTTTATTTAATGGGTTTGGGAAGGAGGTGGTGATTTCTTGGAACAGCAGCAGTGGTCAAGAGAAACGAAGCATAGCCAGAGAAAAAGGAACAGGTTTATACAACAACTGCTTTCTCTCCCAAGCAATACTTTTGCATCTGCTGCACTGTTTCAAAGAGTCACAGGGCAGTCAGTCCTCAACAGATGTTCCCTTGCCTGTGACCATGAAGGTGACCTGGGGCTGGCAGAGTTTCCGCATACCTTCTGGCCCACAGGCCCCCTTTATTACAGATTCCAGTCCCCCACAACCCAGATCTAACACATTTCTCCAGCTCACTGGATTGTATCATCCACGTAATAGCCTCTCCCCACCCCTGCAGACCACCATTCTCTTCCCAGTGTTGGGATTGAGCCTCAGGCTTTGTACCTGTGAGGCAAGCATTTCACCACTGACCTGCATACATAGCCCCCTCCCCTAAAAGAAAAAAAAAAAAAGGTTCATCTCTTTCTCTGTATCTCACCAGCTGGAGACTAGCTAAGAATCCTGGCAGAGTAGGTGCCTTGTATGCTGCCTGCTGCCTCCTTTGTCATTCTCTGGCCCTAAGTTCCACCTCTGTTCCAGCTTCAGGGTAGGATCCAACCATGGGTGATAAATCTCCCAGAATGAGCCAAGTGTCCTTACAGCCCTTTATCCCTGATGCCATGGTCAAGCCGTGTGGTTGTTGCCTGATAGTACTGGTCCCTCCTCCAGTTACCATTGGCTCTCTGGGGACATCCAGTTTACATCAGTTGCTTTTGGACCAACCTTTGCAGCTAACCCACCTTCCTCATCACCCAGTGCCAGCACACATGCACCAAGAAACAGGAACAGCATTTGAGGCTGGCCATGTGTTTTCTTCTTTAATCTGTGAAGGTAAAAAAGTATTCTTGACATTTTCTCATTATCACAGCACTCTTGCAAGGTAGCCACTGTTGCGCACACTTGCAGACAAACACCTAGGAGCCTAAGGCAGGAGGATCACTTCAGCCCAGAAACTTGGGGACAGCCTGGGCAACAGCAAGATACCCATCTCAAAAAATAGAAGAGAGAAGAAAAAAAAAAAAAAAACTTGCATTCCTGGAATAAAGAGTCATGATGTTTGGGTTTTTTTTTCCCCTCGGAACCAGGTATTGAACTCAGACCCTTGTGCTTGCCAGAGAGAAGTGCTTATTCTACTGAGCCATCTCCGTGGCCCATGATTTTTTTTTTTTTTTTTTTTCTTTTGTGGAACCAGGGATTGAACTCAGGCCCTTGCGCTTGCCAGGGAAGCGCTTATTCCACTGAGCCATCTCCCTGGCCCCATTTTTATTTTTTTATTTTTTATTTTTTGTTACGTTGCTAGATTTGGTTTTCTGATATTGAGAGAGGGATTTTGGCACCCATGTTCATAAGCAAAATGGTTTACGCTTTTTTTTGTACTCGTTTTTGTATCAAGGTTATACCAACCTCATAAAATCAGTTGAGGTTGCTCTCTTTATTATCATTACAAGAGTTTATTAAGATTGAAATTTTTCACTTGTAAAATTTGTGGAAATTTTTGCTATAAAACCAACTGGTGCCTGGCATTGTTTTAGGAGGTGGGTAGGTTTTTAATTCAATGTCTTATGGTGGCGAATTAAAATTACTCAGGTTTCCTATCCTAGAGATACACTTTCAAAGAAAACTACTTTTGTATTTTCTCATTTTAAGTGGTTTCGAATATCTGACACAAAGTTATTTATAGAATTGCCTTGCTTGTAGTCTTTTTTTTTTTTTTTTTTTTTTTTTTACTTTTATGTATTTGGTACAGGGTCTCACTACCCAGCTCAGACTCATAGTGATCCTCCTGTTTCAGCTTCCACAGCACTGGGATTAGTCTACACCATGCCCGGTCTTGGTGGCTGGCCAGCACCGGAGGTGGGGCAGACACCTCTTGCAGTCTCGGAGATCGAACCCAGTCCTTGCACTTGCCAGGCAGGTGCTTAGATCTCTGAGCTATCTCCGTGGCCCTTGTAGTCTTGACTGCATCAGAATTTTTTTTTTTTTTTTTTTTTTTTGAGACAAGATCTCACTATGTAGTTCAGATTGGCCTTGAGCTCACTATGTAGGCTAGGCCAGCCTCAGACTCATGGTGATCCTCAGCCTCTCAAGTTCTGTAAT